CTGTGTGCATGAGCACGGTACTGTGTGCATGAGTATGGTACTGTGTACATGAGCACGGTACTGTGTACATGAGCACGGTACTGTGTACATGAGCACGGTACTGTGTACATGAGTATGGTACTGTGTGCATGAGCACGGTACTGTGTGCATGAGTATGGTACTGTGTACGTGAGCACGGTACTGTGTACATGAGCACGGTACTGTGTGCATGAGCATGGTACTGTGTGCATGAGCACGGTACTGTGTACATGAGCATGGTACTGTGTACATGAGCATGGTACTGTGTGCATGAGCATGGTACTGTGTGCATGAGCATGGTACTGTGTGCATGAGCATGGTACTGTGTACGTGAGCATGGTACTGTGTACATGAGCATGGTACTGTGTGCATGAGCATGGTACTGTGTGCATGAGCACGGTACTGTGTACATGAGCATGGTACTGTGTACATGAGCATGGTACTGTGTACATGAGCATGGTACTGTGTGCATGAGCATGGTACTGTGTGCATGAGCATGGTACTGTGTGCATGAGCACGGTACTGTGTACATGAGCACGGTACTGTGTACATGAGCATGGTACTGTGTGCATGAGCATGGTACTGTGTGCATGAGCATGGTACTGTGTGCATGAGCATGGTACTGTGTGCATGAGCACGGTACTGTGTACATGAGCATGGTACTGTGTGCATGAGCATGGTACTGTGTGCATGAGCATGGTACTGTGTGCATGAGCATGGTACTGTGTGCATGAGCATGGTACTGTGTGCATGAGCATGGTACTGTGTACATGAGCATGGTACTGTGTACATGAGCACGGTACTGTGTGCATGAGCATGGTACTGTGTACATGAGCATGGTACTGTGTGCATGAGCACGGTACTGTGTGCATGAGCATGGTACTATGTGCATGACAGGCGGCGAGGCATGACAGGTAGCGAGGCATGACAGGTAGCGAGGCATGACAGGTAGCGAGGCATGACAAGTGACGATGCATGACAGGTAGCGAGGCATGACAGGTGACGAGGCATGACAGGTTGCGAAGCATGACAGGTGACGAGGCATGACAGGTAGCGAGGCATGACAGGTGGCAAGGCATGACAGGTGGCAAGGCATGACAGGTGACGAGGCATGACAGGTAGCGAGGCATGACAGGTGACGAGGCATGACAGGTAGCGAGGCATGACAGGTAGCGAGGCATGACAGGTGACGAGGCATGACAGGTAGCGAGGCATGACAGGTGACGAGGCATGACAGGTAGCGAGGCATGACAGGTAGCGAGGCATGACAGGTGACGAGGCATGACAGGTGACGAGGCATGACAGGTGACGAGGCATGACAGGTAGCGAGGCATGACAGGTAGCGAGGCATGACAGGTAGCGAGGCATGACAGGTAGCGAGGCATGACAGGTGACGAGGCATGACAGGTGACGAGGCATGACAGGTAGCGAGGCATGACAGGTAGCGAGGCATGACAGGTGACGAGGCATGACAGGTAGCGAGGCATGACAGGTGACGAGGCATGACAGGTGACGAGGCATGACAGGTAGCGAGGCATGACAGGTAGCGAGGCATGACAGGTGACGAGGCGACAGGTAGCGAGGCATGACAGGCGACAAGTGTAAACAAACCCAGGCAGTGGCGCCGCCCTGGTGGCCGCCGCTGGCACTATCTTCCTCCATATTTTAACAATTCACAGTCCCAGGGGACAGGCAGCCAGCATATATAAATGCTGACCTGGTAACTGTGTAGTCCTGGGGACTGTGTAGTCCTGGTAACTGTGTAGTCCTGGTAACTGTGTAGTCCTGGTAACTGTGTAGTCCTGGGGACTGTGTAGTCCTGGTAACTGTGTAGTCCTGGTAACTGTGTAGTCCTGGGGACTGTGTAGTCCTGGGGACTGTGTAGTCCTGGTAACTGTGTAGTCCTGGGGACTGTGTAGTCCTGGTAACTGTGTAGTCCTGGTAACTGTGTAGTCCTGGTAACTGTGTAGTCCTGGTAACTGTGTAGTCCTGGTAACTGTGTAGTCCTGGGGACTGTGTAGTCCTGGTAACTGTGTAGTCCTGGTAACTGTGTAGTCCTGGTAACTGTGTAATCCTGGGACTGTGTAGTCCTGGTAACTCAGGTACATAGAGAAGGCAGAGTTGTAAGCCATGGTTGTAGGGACTGACTACAGAGGCATATGTATAATCCAGTGTAGCACACGTTCGTAGATTTATATGTACAGTATATGTATCTCGTGTGTGTATGTATCTCGTCTGTGAATGTATATGTATATCTTGTGTGTACGTATATGTATCTCTTGTGTGTATGTATATGTATCTCTGGTTTAGGCGGTAAAGTGTGGTCCAGGGCAAGGCCTGGGGCCAGATTCACGAAGCAGTATTCAAGAACTTACGAACCTGTACATCTTTTCTCGATCTCTGGCGGCTTTGTTTACAATTATTAAACAGTTAATTAGCTCGGAAGCACCAGGAGGCTGTTTATAACAATAACAACAGTTGATTGGCAAGTTTTCATGCTTGTAAACTGTTTAATAAATGTAACCAAAGCCGTCAAAGATTGAGGAAAGATGTGATCAATGTGTGATCAATGTGATCACTGGGTGATCAAGAGACGTGGGACCGCTGGTTGTTTCAAGCGCAGGTTAGACAAATATATGAACGAAGCAAGGTAACTTCCAAGAGGTAAAGCGCCAAGACATTACGACTATATAGCACTGGGAGGGGTCAGGATAAGGATTTGGGATGGGACGGGGGATTAAAACGATTGGTGCCCAACCACTTGGACGGTCGGGGATTGAACGCCGACCTGCATGAAGCTCTACCGTCCAGCCCAAGTGGTTGTGCCAACATATGAGCTGAGGTGGACCTAACAGGAGGCAAGACTGGCATGTCAACAGCCCTATTCAACCTCCTTCATTGTTATTGTCTACAATGCCAGGAAGTATGGGTGATACGAAGCCTGATAACATTATACGATATAAAGAAGAAGAAATCTGTTATTTGTAGATTCAGAAAGAAAACCCCATCTTTGAGTGGGGTGCAGGGCTAGCCCCGTGAGGCTAGAGCCTATCCCTGGGGCCAGGGCCTATCCCTGGGGCGAGATCCCTAAGGCAGGCCAATAACCTCCACAATCCAGGCCAACATGGATTTAGAACGGGAAGATCGTGCCTCTCACAGCTACTTGACCACTACGACAGTCACTGAGGCATTAGAAGGAAAACAGAATGCAGATGTGGTGTACGCGAACTTCTCAAAGGCATTCGATAAATGTGACCATGGAGTGATAGCACACAAAATGAGGTCAATGGGAATAACTGGTAAAGTACGACACTGGATACGCAGTTTTCTGTCGAACAGAACACAAAGAGTAACAGTCAACCATATAAAATCGAGTCCAAGCGCAGTTCAAAGCTCTGTACCTCAGGGTACAGTCCTTGCACCACTGCTGTTCATTATTCTCATATCATATATAGACTCAAATACAAGTCACAGCTTCGTGTCATCCTTTGCAGATGACACAAAAATCAACATGAAAATTACCTCTGTTGAAGACATTGAAAAACTTCAAGCAGATATTAATAAAGTTTTCGACTGGGCAACAGAAAATAACATGTTGTTTAACAGTGAAAAAATCCAGGTACTCAGGTACGGTAAAAATGAGGACCTTAAACATAATACAGAGTACAAAACACAATCAAATCTGCCCATAGTAGGAAGGCAACATGTAAAGATTTTAGGAATAATAATGTCTGACGACCTAACGTTTAGAGAGCATAACCAAGCAAATATCGCGTCAGCCAGAAAAATGATCGGATGGATTACGAGAACTTTCAAATCCAGGGATCCCATCACAATGGTTGTACTCTTCAAGGCACTTGTGTTGTCCCGTCTTGAGTACTGCTCAGTACTCACTTCCCCCTTCAGAGCAGGAGAGATTGCTGAAATAGAGGGAATACAGAGAACATATACGGCACGCATAGACGCAATAAAGCACCTAAATTATTGGGATCGTCTCAAAGCTCTCCAAATGTACTCACTAGAAAGGAGACGAGAGAGATATCAAATAATATACACCTGGAAGATACTGGAGGGCCAAGTACCAAATCTACACAGTAAAATAACAACGTACTGGAGTGAACGATATGGAAGAAAATGCAGAATAGAACCAGTGAAGAGCAGAGGTGCCATAGGCACAATCAGAGAACACTGTATAAACATCAGAGGTCCGCGGTTGTTCAACGTCCTCCCAGCGAGCATAAGAAATATTGCCGGAACAACCGTGGACATCTTCAAGAGAAAACTAGATTGTTTCCTCCAAGAAGTGCCGGACCAACCGGGCTGTGGTGGGTATGTGGGCCTGCGGGCCGCTCCAAGCAACAGCCTGGTGGACCAAACTCTCACAAGTCAAGTCTGGCCTCGGGCCGGGCTTGGGGAGTAGAAGAACTCCCAGAACCCCATCAACCAGGTATCAAGCAGAGCCTACCCCTTGGGCCAGACCCTCTTCCTTCTTGAGGTTATCTTGAGATGATTTCGGGGATTAGCATCCTTGCGGCCCGGTCCTCGACCAGGCCTCCTTTTAGTTACACACTACCAGGAAACAGCCCCGTAGCAGCTGTCTAACTCCCACGTACATATTTTCTGCTAGGTAACAGGAGCAGCAGGGTGAAAGAAACTCTGCCCATTTCTTTTCGCCTCCACCGGGGATCGAACCCGAATACGGGTTCGGGGACTCCACCGGGGACTACGAATCCGGAGCGGTGTCCACTCAGCTGTCATGCCCCCTGGAGCCAGAGTTTACCCCCCAGTCTGCCTGTCACGGGAATATTGTGCGAGTTAAGAGTGGTGACAGCAACATACAAGTGTCTTCATAAGTCTATCTCTCCAACCATGTCGTTTGATAAGAAAATCACGCCAATAATCGGAGCGTAGTGTTGTGTGAGATAATGGATAGATAGGGTCGGCGGGCATGGTGAGGGATGGTGCCTACTTCAGCCCTAGGCCTAGCCAGGCCTAGCCAGGGTGCCGAGGTGGCACACCGCCGTCATCACCCCGGCCAGCAGGGTGACAGGGGCGTGCCCCGCCGTCATCACCCCGGCCAGCAGGGTGACAGGGGCGTGCCCCGCCGTCGTCACCCCGGCCAGCAGGGTGACAGGGGCGTGCCCCGCCGTCATCACCCAGGCCAGCAGGGTGACAGGGGCGTGCCTCGCCGTCACCACCCCGGCCAGCAGGGTGACAGGGGCGTGCCCCGCCGTCACCACCCCGGCCAGCAGGGTGACAGGGGCTTGCCCCGCCGTCACCACCCCGGCCAGCAGGGTGACAGGGGCGTGCCCCGCCGTCACCACCCCGGCCAGCAGGGTGACAGGGGCGTGCCTCGCCGTCACCACCCCGGCCAGCAGGGTGACAGGGGCGTGCCCCGCTGTCACCACCCCGGCCAGCAGGGTGACAGGGGCGTGCCTCGCCGTCACCACCCCGGCCAGCAGGGTGACAGGGGCGTGCCCCGCCGTCACCACCCCGGCCAGCAGGGTGACAGGGGCGTGCCTCGCCGTCACCAACCCGGCCAGCAGGGTGACAGGGGCGTGCCCCGCTGTCATCACCCCGGCCAGCAGGGTGACAGGGGCGTGCCCCGCCGTCACCACCCCGGCCAGCAGGGTGACAGGGGCGTGCCCCGCCGTCACCACCCCGGCCAGCAGGGTGACAGGGGCGTGCCTCGCCGTCACCACCCCGGCCAGCAGGGTGACAGGGGCGTGCCCCGCCGTCACCACCCCGGCCAGCAGGGTGACAGGGGCGTGCCCCGCCGTCATCACCCCGGCCAGCAGGGTGACAGGGGCGTGCCCCGCCGTCACCACCCCGGCCAACAGGGTGACAGGGGCGTGCCTCGCCGTCACCACCCCAGCCAGCAGGGTGACAGGGGCGTGCCCCGCCGTCACCACCCCGGCCAGCAGGGTGACAGGGGCGTGCCCCGCCGGCCAGAAACACCCCGGGGCACCAGTTAGCGAGCCCTGGACGCCGTGCTCGGAGCGGCCGTGATGTGTGTTGGAATTCGCGCGCTATGAGGTAAGGGCTGTCATCTTCCCTTCCCATCGTCCCCCCCCCCCTAACCCACCACCCACCCACACCCTCCCTCAACCCACCAGCCACCCTAACCCACCACCCACTTGGTTATCATGCGTCCCGGGCCCCTCACCCACGCCACATTCGGCAGGTCGGGGCTGCAGCTCGCATTCTAAATTCGCACGTAAGAGTTATCGGCCAAGATGTGAGAGTCGCGCATGGCGGCGCCTGCAGATAAGGCGCTTCGCACTGCACTTCATGAAATGTGTTTATCTCGTAGGCCTTTGACAAACGCAGCTCCGGCTGGCTGTTAGGCCTATAAGCGTACTGGGTTACCCATTCTTCTTCGCCATAAATGAGTCTATACTCCGTAATGAAGTTGAGGTGTTGGTAGCTGTGTGGCAGCGCTACCACCACCACAGTGGCAGCGCCACCACCACCACAGTGGCAGCGCCACCACCACCACAGTGGCAGCGCCACCACCACCACAGTGGCAGCGCTACCACCACCACAGTGGCAGCGCCACCACCACCACAGTGGCAGCGCCACCACCACCACAGTGGCAGCGCTACCTCCACCACAGTGGCAGCGCCACCACCACCACAGTGGCAGCGCTACCACCACCACAGTGGCAGCGCCACCACCACCACAGTGGCGGCGCTACCACCACCACAGTGGCAGCGCTACCACCACCACAGTGGCAGCGCCACCACCACCACAGTGGCAGCGCTACCACCACCACAGTGGCAGCGCCACCACCACCACAGTGGCAGCGCTACCACCACCACAGTGGCAGGTTATAAGACAAGCTGAACTACATAGTTCTCAGAGTGATTAATTGTCAGGAACTCCTTCTCTTAGTCAAGGATTGCCACTCCTCCTATCTCCTACCCCCCCCTCCTCCCAATACTAACCCAACCCCCACCACCTCACTGTGGGTGGGAGTGGGTGTGTGGGGGTGGGCATGTGGGTATGTGGGTACTGAATTTTGCATGCGGGGATTGAGCCCCATCTCTTGCCCCCCCCACCCCCCTCCCAACCATCTGGGCCTACAGTCAACTGGTGTACAGGTTCCCAGGCCTACTGGGCTCTATCTTATCTACGTTTGAAGCCTACCTCCTCCATCACCCCTCACTGCTTAATACATTCCTCTTGTTCACTGCTCCGACACTGAACACCTGACTCACGTGTTCACTGCTCCGACACTGAACACCTGACTCACGTGTTCACTGCTCCGACACTGAACACCTGACTCACGTGTTCACTGCTCCGACACTGAACACCTGACTCACTTGTTCACTGCTCCGACACTGGACACCTGACTCACTTGTTCACTGCTCCGACACTGAACACCTGACTCACGTGTTCACTGCTCCGACACTGGACACCTGACTCACGTGTTCACTGCTCTGACACTGAACACCTGACTCACTTGTTCACTGCTCTGACACTGAACACCTGACTCACGTGTTCACTGCTCCGATACTGAACACCTGACTCACGTGTTCACTGCCCTGACACTGGACACCTGACTCACGTGTTCACTGCTCCGATACTGAACACCTGACTCACGTGTTCACTGCTCCGATACTGAACACCTGACTCACTGAACTCACTGAACACCTGACTGAGCATGTGACTCTGAGACACTTGAGGCATTAGCTTCCACTTGTGATCCCTCAATCCGTCACACCATATATAATCTGTGGTTGTCTTCCTTGTCAATATCCCCGAGTATTATATACGTGGTAATCATGTCTCCTCTAACTCTTGCCTTCCAATGACGTTAAGATTTAATTACTTTAGTCTTTAGCGTGTAATCCAAACCTGTCAGTTCTGGCACCAGTCAGGCGCATGGGTCATGTGGGTATATGAGACCGGTCTTGGTATACAGTGTATTTTATTTCCTACCACAGACGTGGCCAGACATTTACAATGCTAACCAGCATATATACATTTTCTTCTGTCCTCCATGGACAGGGTGAGAGGTCTGTTAAACATATAGTTCAGGGATAAAGTGATGTGGAGGTTGTGGAGGTTGGTGGGGTTGATACTAGGGGTTGTGGGGTTGAGACTAGGGGTTGTGGGGGTTGTGGACGTTGGTGGGGTTGAGACTAGGGGTTGTGGGGGTTGTGGACGTTGGTGGGGGGTTGGGGTTGTGGGGGGACTGTGTGGGGGTTGTGGACGTTGGTGGGGTTGAAACTAGGGGTTGTGGGGGGTTGAAACTAGGGGTTGTGGGGGTTGGTGGGGTTGAAACTAGGGGTTGAGACTAGGGGTTGGGGTTGGTGGGGTTGAGACTAGGGGTTGTGGGGTTGTGGGGGTTGGTGGAGTTGAGACTAGGGGTTGTGGGGGTTGTGGGGTGAGGGGTTGGTGGGGTTGATACTAGGGGTTGTGGAGGTTGTGGAGGTTGGTGGGGTTGATACTAGGGGTTGTGGAGGTTGTGGAGGTTGGTGGGGTTGATACTAGGGGTTGTGGAGGTTGTGGAGGTTGGTGGGGTTGATACTAGGGGTTGTGGAGGTTGGTGGGGTTGATACTAGGGGTTGTGGAGGTTGGTGGGGTTGATACTAGGGGTTGTGGAGGTTGGTGGGGTTGATACTAGGGGTTGTGGAGGTTGGTGGGGTTGATACTAGGGGTTGTGGAGGTTGTGGAGGTTGGTGGGGTTGAGACTAGGGGTTGTGGGGTTGTGGGGCAAGGTTCCTCCACCCTGTTAATAAGTCACCATAGCCTCACACATCCCAAGTTCACGTGCCACAACCCCACCAACCTCCACAACCCCTCACTACTCTAGACCAAGACCGGTATCATATACCCACATGACCCATGCTCCAGACTGGTACCAGAACTGACAGGTTTGGATTACAAGCAAAGACTAAAATAATTCAATCTTACGTTTCAAATGTAGATATGATGGAGCTTGAGAAGCTGAGGAATCTGTACATCAGTAGATTGGCGGTTGAGAGGCGGGACGAGAGAGCCCCACACAAGCACAATTAGGTGAGTACACACACACACACACACACACACACACACACACACACACACACACACACACACAAGAAAGAATTTTTTCAGTGTCAGAGTGGTTGATAAATGGAATGCATTAGGCAATGATGTGGTGGAGGCTGACTCCAAACACAGTTTCAAGTGTAGATATGATAGAGCCCAGTAGGCTCAGGAACCTGTACACCTGTTGATTGACGGTTGAGAGGCGGGACCAAAGAGCCAAAGCTCAACCCCCGCAAGCACAACTAGGTGAGTACACACAAAGCATTGCACCAGTTGGACCTAACATAAGTTCCTCCGCCCACTGACCACAAACATAAGTTCCTCCGCCCACTGACCACAAACATAAGTTCCTCCGCCCACTGACCACAAACATAAGGCCCTCCGCCCACTCACCACAAACATAAGGCCCTCCGCCCACTCACCACAAACATAAGGCCCTCCGCCCACTCACCACAAACATAAGGCCCTCCGCCCACTCACCACAAACATAAGGCCCTCCGCCCACTCACCACAAACATAAGGCCCTCCGCCCACTGACCACAAACATAAGGCCCTCCGCCCACTGACCACAAACATAAGGCCCTCCGCCCACTCACCTCCGCCCACTGACCACAAACATAAGTTCCTCCGCCCACTGACCACAAACATAAGGCCCTCCGCCCACTGACCACAAACATAAGGCCCTCCGCCCACTCACCACAAACATAAGGCCCTCCGCCCACTCACCACAAACATAAGGCCCTCCGCCCACTCACCACAAACATAAGTTCCTCCGCCCACTGACCACAACCATAAGTTCCTCCGCCCACTGACCACAAACATAAGGCCCTCCGCCCACTGACCACAAACATAAGTTCCTCCGCCCACTCACCACAAACATAAGGCCCTCCGCCCACTGACCACAAACATAAGTTCCTCCGCCCACTCACCACAACCATAAGTTCCTCCGCCCACTCACCACAAACATAAGTTCCTCCGCCCACTCACCACAACCATAAGGCCCTCCGCCCACTGACCACAACCATAAGTTCCTCCGCCCACTGACCACAACCATAAGTTCCTCCGCCCACTGACCACAAACATAAGGCCCTCCGCCCACTGACCACAACCATAAGTTCCTCCGCCCACTGACCACAAACATAAGTTCCTCCGCCCACTCACCACAACCATAAGGCCCTCCGCCCACTCACCACAACCATAAGGCCCTCCGCCCACTGACCACAACCATAAGGCCCTCCGCCCACTCACCACAACCATAAGTCCCTCCGCCCACTGACCACAAACATAAGGCCCTCCGCCCACTCACCACAAACATAAGTTCCTCCGCCCACTGACCACAACCATAAGTCCCTCCGCCCACTCACCACAACCATAAGTCCCTCCGCCCACTGACCACAAACATAAGGCCCTCCGCCCACTGACCACAAACATAAGGCCCTCCGCCCACTCACCACAAACATAAGGCCCTCCGCCCACTCACCACAACCATAAGGCCCTCCGCCCACTCACCACAAACATAAGGCCCTCCGCCCACTGACCACAAACATAAGGCCCTCCGCCCACTCACCACAACCATAAGGCCCTCCGCCCACTCACCACAACCATAAGGCCCTCCGCCCACTCACCACAACCATAAGGCCCTCCGCCCACTCACCACAACCATAAGGCCCTCCGCCCACTCACCACAACCATAAGGCCCTCCGCCCACTCACCACAACCATAAGGCCCTCCGCCCACTCACCAC